CCCCCCCCCCCCCCCGACCCCCTTCTCCTCGCCCGATCAAGGTGTTTTTGAAATGGGTTTGATTTAGGGATACGAATGGTCCTTCAAAAACCTTGGGTCTGTACGAAATTTTTTCATCGTTTTCTTAGCGGTTATGTACCTGTGTGTCGCGCTTGAAATTAAAACTCTAAAGCTGCGGTCTTGCCAAGAAGAACGCTAGTCGCGACTTAACTTGTTTCTTTATCCATCGCGGAAACTTCGATGGTTTTCGCCGTAACAACCACATTTTGCCATACCCGTGAAACCAAATATCGAATTTTTCTGTGTTCATTTTTCTAGTTTATTTTAATAGTATGTGACGTCACAGTACATCACAAACGGCAAATCTTCTCATCTGCAAGAGAAAGTTGAGAGATATTTACTGAAAGTAAAGCAAAATTATTTTGATATGTCTTATGAGAACGAGAATTGAAGGAACCCTTGAAGATGTAATTGGGGCCCCAACATTACCATGTCACGACTTACAGTTGCACTGTGTATAGTCGATGAACGCTCCACTTTTCACAACTCAAACCCCATAGCTAATCATTTAATTGTTGTACATATGTAGAAGTTCATGTTGTGTTTAAAACGCTTCAGATATTGACGAATGTGCGACCAATAACGGAGGCTGTGGACAAAACTGCTTGAACAATCACGGATCATTTGAGTGTGACTGCGATGCTGGATACCTTCTAAACCCTCTGGACAAGAAGAGTTGTGATGGTGAGCATATATTGCAGCTGTTTAGAAAGATCGATTCATTGTTATACTATCCTCTGCTCTGCTCTACTCTACTCTATACTACGCAACTCTAATCTAATCTACTCTACTCTGCTGTACTCTGCTCTGCTGTACTCTGCTCTGCTCTGCTCTGCTCTGCTCTGCTCTGCTCTGCTCTGCTCTGCTCTGCTCTGCTCTGCTCTGCTCTGCTCTGCTCTGCTCTGCTCTGCTCTGCTCTGCTCTCCTCTGCTCTGATTTGCGCTGCTCTGCTCTGCTCCGGTCCATAAAAGTACTGTTCTGATCATTACCCAAACTGGCTGGCGAACTCAAATACTTATTAGTGATGTTACGCGGTGGAAGACGCTTCAGATCATACTGCATTTTAAATGTTAACAATTAAGCTATATATTCTTCTTCTTCTTCTTCTTCTTCTTCTTCTTCTATTTTATTTCCTCTTTCCTTTTTTTCCATTCAAGTTAAGGTAACATACCTACTCACCCTGATCTCTTATTGCAGACATAGATGAATGCAGGTCTGGGAGAGGAGGCTGTATGCAGATTTGCGAGAATACAGAGGGTTCATACAACTGCAAATGTGATGCAGAATTTAAAGTGGAACCCACTAATCCAAAGAATTGCGTAGGTGAGTTCTGTTAAAAAGTATTGAACGGCATCGTAAAGAGCAAAGGTTCACATGTTACCTTACAAAGAAAAATATACTTGACAATACCAAGAAATTATAATATCTTGACAATACTTAGACTTCTGATCGCGCGGATAGAATCGCGAGAGAACTGGACGCCAGCGCACCCCTCGCGTTTCGCATTCACTTTTGTTTTCTTTTGTTTTGTTTTCTTTCTTTCTTTCTTTCTTTTTTTTTTTTTTTTTTTTTTTTTTTTTTTTTTTTTTTTT